GAAAACTCGAAAAACTGAATTTTTTAGCCGTATAAAGAATTCAAGCCGCGCTTTCATATATATATAGAACATCGTATTGAATACGTCACTTCTACTCGTTACTTTTAATTTAATCATTTTCCTATATTACATTTTTAACAACCCAAGGTTTAAAATGAAAGTAACAAATATAGCTCTAGGTGGCAATTTGCAACATGTAGGATAACAAAGGAAACACTACAACAAAGACGGATCGTGATCCCCGACTCCTACTTCAAGCTGCCATCACCTCCTATACTTGCTTTCACTCAACATTTTGCTAAACATTAGAGTTAAAAATCAGTTTACAACCACAAAGTGCAAACTAACCGACAAGATTATCTACTTCTCTAAAGGGTTTGTTTTTCCATGAAATCTCACATTTTTTAAATAAGAACAGAAACGCGCCTATTTGAATATGTCCACAAGTACAAGTCGCGTATTCCCATTTTTCTCAATTTTTATTTTTATTATGCTTCTATTTTGTTGTGTTTGACCATCTGTGAAAATGAAAAGGAAATACAAACTTTGTTCATAAATAAACTTTGAAATCGTTTTTATAATAACAATAATAGAAGCCCAAAACCAGAAAAAGGAAAAAAATTATTCTAAAGAAAACTTGAATTTTTATTTTCACTATGCAGCTTCTATTACAAGGTTTCTTAAAACTTTTACTTGCTTCCGCTACAGTTTCTCCTGTAGATATATATGTATGTATATATATATATATATATATATATCAATGAATCAAAAAGAGAAATAAAAATTTTTTTAACATCTTTGTTATGGTGGAATTATTATTTTTGTTATGGAATCGTTTGCTGGTCATTTACTTGGTCACTCTTTAAGTAAATGTTGGTTGGAATGGACAGAAAAAACAAAAGTAGAAAAAAGGAAAAAATGAGGAAAGAACTTATAATAAAAGTTGTTGACACTGTAAAGTGTCGTGTAAATCTTTACACAAGTTATGCTTTGGTTTCGGTTTCGCTCCTTTATATCCCTCGAAGATATAGGCGATATATTAAACTTGTTATACTACTCGTATCAGTCATAGGTACATGTGTGTAATAGAGAAGCCATACAAAGTTTATATATATAATATTTTTCTATTTATTTGCAATGTGCTAAATACTAACAATAACCACCGGTAAACTTAAAATGTTTTTAATTAGTAATATCTGTAGCGTCGCGTTAACTATAGAGAAAAAACGTATAACATTGCCATTCTTAACCTTTTCGTCGTTTTCATATATTTCCTCTAATTGATGGGCATCTAAGGCTCGTCCTCCAAGGGAGATAAAATATATTTATGTCTCGAACAAAGAATCTGAAAATAAATGCATAAAAATAATTAGATAACATAGTCCAGACAACCACAGATCGTTTGCAAATTCACAATGTTTGAAGAAAATTTTAATTTTGATTAAATACTCAATTATGTAGACCCGCTGCCGAAAAAAGGGTTTACCGTTTTATTATACCGAACGCTGAAGGAAGGTTTAGAAGGTTTAGTATATATATTCCTTTCATCATTAAATTCTAAATTGAATTAAGCATATTCATCTGTCTGTCTGTCCGCCTGCCGGTTTCAAGTTTAACAGAAACACTGGAAGTTCTTGCACGCAAAACGTAACAGAGAACATTTTTGTCTAGAGGCTTTTTGCCCGTTACTCAAAAAATTACGAGACACACACGATGAAAATTTTCACGTAGATTCCGCAAAAATCGATCAAATCAACCACGCCCACCCATGGATATGCGAATTTAGTTTTTTTGTTTTTTTTTTTTAAATCTTTATTAGGGTAAAGGTGGCTGGTTTGAGAGCCTCGGCTAAGCCGAATATAATATCCACCGTTGTTTTACTAAACCCAGAAAGTAGCTTCAGAACCCCCGGCTCAGCATTCGATTTAAACATGTCCATTTGTCCATCTATCTGCCTGTCTGCGCATTATCTTTAATAAACATTCCCCTGCTCGCATGAATATATCGGCTTCGAGTTTGGAAGCTCTTGGCCAAAATCGTTGAAGGAGAACATCCACCGTAGAAGGCTAACTGAAAACCATTGTTTTCAAGAGCAAAAATTTAAATTGTAATTAAATATTTGCATATATTTTAATATAAAGATGATGGGTATATCCGGCCGAAGCCGAATGCAATTTGCTCGCTTGTGTTATTTTTAAGTTTAAGCGATTTAATATTAAACTATTCAACATTACTTTTTGAAAACACGTAAACATATATACTTTGTGTCCCACACGATCTAGTTGCTAGGATTTCTTGCTTTTTTCGTATATGAAACAGTTATATGATAAATACATGGGGCAAAAAATCAGGCACGCCCAGCCGATGCTTTAGAACAAAGAAATCTTTTATTTAATTGTTTGTTATTCGTTTTTAGGGCAAAAATTTGAGGTATAAAGATTCGGTCATAGTAAAGTCTTCCTTTTTTTTCTTCGTTTTGATTATGTTTTCTTTGTTTTTTATTGTCAATACTAAATATTACAAAAAGCTCTCACATTGGCTTTGAAATGTTAATCAGGTAAATGAAAAAAGGAAAAGACTGTCAGCCAAACGAAACAAACGTGAAATAATTACAGTCTGATATTGCAAGCTCAGGTGAATATTAGCCATTACGACTTAAGAATCTGTCGTATGTGTAATCTGCTTCTTCAGAATTAAATTTGTATTACCAGAAGAACATTGTTCCCGTATTTAATTATATAAAGTGAATATAGGAACTCGAAATTCATATAATTATCAGCTATTCCTTAAGCATTTCAAGTGAAACATAATATGCACACAATGCTTCATCTACCCGCCTCTATTCCTTTATCTTTCTATATGATGGAAAATTTCCCAAAAGCAAGAACACAAAAATAGAATACAATAACGGCATTCTTGTGTATTAGAATGCTCTGTACCAATAACCGATTTGCGTCGGAACTAATATTCAGTTCAGTGATATCTAACACATTATTTAACGAACTGACATATATGACTGAGTCGAGGTGATTTATCCGACTGAGCTACATAGTTTGCACGATCTATAATTTCTAATCTTAACTTGTCTTCGTATAGTTATAATGCAGTTCCTAACATTCGGTATAGTCTCAAAGCGATCCGCAGGATCTGTTCAGATACCATTAGCCTCCAAAACTCCTTAAACTGTCCTATTCCCTAACATCCTTAGTATACACCTGAAATATGTGCTACCATCAATATAATTGTGCTTATAAAACTATGCATGAGTGGTGATACAAGATAATAGTATGTGTGTAAAATGTCGTTACAATTAAATTTCATTTTCGGTTTTAACATGCAATCGAACGTCTACCTATATAATAACGCGCGCTTACTTACGCCCATCCATACATCTCAAGTAAGATTCAACTGCTTTCATTACACTCCCTTGACCAGTAGTTTCATGTACGCGTTGTTAAATTGACTTCTATTATCCGCTGACATCAAAAAATTTCTTACATCCAATAGAATACTTCGTAAGTAGACTATTCATTTCCGACACGTATTCGTCCAAGCATCGTTGAATGTTTTTTAAGTCCGGAGGTGAATATAAAAAGAGAGAAAAGCCGCTAAAGTCATTTTGGGAAATAAAAAAAAACAACTCAATATTATTTTACTACGAAAATAAATAGTTTAGACAAGCAGACAGTGTCATCCTGCTAAGTCATCTGCCCTTCCATTTATGCGCAGACGTGCGTCGGTTGTATTTGAATATATAAATTCACTCACACCTCATAGAAACATATAGCTTATACCTAAACCTCTAAAGAACGTAAAAAAACATGCACAAAAACAAAAAAAAAAACGAGTAAGAGCATTATAGTTATGCAACGCTGGCTATTATATGTCCCACATCACTTCGCCCAGCAAATATATTCACTTGTTTTGGCAATAATACACAACGAAGTATACATTATTTTCATGCAAAGTCATAATTCTCATGCAAGCCCACATATAGAAATGTTAGACTTTCTCTCTATATAAGAAGTTGCGTGCTTCGTGATAGCGGTTATAAACGTTAGGGTCCAAAAAGATAGACCTATGTGGTACAACTTCCTTACCGTATATTTTTTTTGCTAAAACGGGTTTGGGTTCCATGAGAATTCTTATATGCCGTAATATCCAAAAAATAGACCTACGTAGTCCGCACTCGGTAAGGTTTACTTCTTTATCAACTTAATATTGTGAGCGAATTTTCGCCATGAAAAATTGAAAATTCAACCTTTTCACTATATGCACATTCAGTTTCCGTACCAACGATTATATGAGAGGGGTTCAAAAAATTGCCTAAGCCGGTCGAAAGTTTTTACAACAATTTAAAGTGCCAAAATAATACTACTCAGCCACTTTTGACGAGAAATATTAAAAATTGCAATATTTTTTCGTATAACGACTTTTCAGAATAGGGCGTTATATGGAGAGTGGTCGAAAAAGAAACCGATCTGAACCATTTTCAACTGCGTTCGTCCTTGGGTCAAAGCACGTCAGTATTCCAAATTTCGTCAAATATCTCAAAAATTGCGACCTGTAGCTAGAACAAAAATTTACACGGACAGACATCAGCGGGCAGACGGACAAACAGACTTAGATCACTTCAGAAAATGATTCTGAATTGATCGCTATAATAGAAGGTAGGTCTATTTTAAATTCTTCTGCGTATTATATACGTCCACACTAGCTTAGTATACTCTGTGCCACAACAGGTGTAGAGTATGAAAATCGTAACCAGTCGAACAAGCACCTATAACAATAAATAATACCGATTTATTTGAAAGATGTCAAAATAGTTACCACATATTCCAAGTACATACATGTTCATATATAAATATCCATATATAGATTTATTTCAATAGAGATTTAAACACAACAGAATCAATATCCAGAGTTAAGCGTTAAACTTAAATCATAAAAAAATCCTTCAAATTTATAGTATATTTGCTTCTTTTCCTTTAAATATTTAGATCTGTCGAATTGATTGCCTTGCTGGTCATATCGTGCATATTTTTCCTTTTTTGTATGCATACAAATAAACTCAACAGCCGCCTTAAGGAGATGGAAATGAAATTACATCCCTCAGAATTTTCAGCACTTGGTCTAACAGGCGACGGTGTCGGTGTTGAGGTTGGCGGCAGCAGTAGTGGCAGCAACAGCAATCATCTGGACTCATCCAGTAAGTTAATACACATTTTAATTCATTTCATATTTACAGAGTAAACAATTTTATATAATCATCAGCATCAGCGTCAGCATCATAATCATCACCATCACCGTCATTATTATACCATCGTGGCTGTAGTGGTAGTTAACAACACAGCCAGTGAGAGTAGTTTACTCTTTACTTGTCTGCCTTCGAGTACATATTTAAAATAATAAAAAAAAAAGCCAGAAATCTTTCTTAAAGGATTCTGTGTGAAAACTAAAGCATTTATATTTAAAATATAATTTATTTTCTTCTTTCAAACGTGGCTTTATTATGGAATATTGCACTGTTTGTGATAGAATAAGATTAAGATTCTTCGTTATACAAGTCAAATAACAGCGTTTACCTTTACAGTTTTGCCTTTTTTCGTTTACAGCTGATACTGGCATGATCTCACTGATGCCATTGGTGCACCCAATTTGTAACCGAATTTCAATAAACAGCTAAATCACTTAAACCAACATGACAACTTTATTTGTTTTTTGTTGGAATCAAAGTATTCGTTTCCTGCAAATTCCATCGCAACCACAATCTTTTTTTTTTAACGGAAAACTACCTTCTCGAACGCCTTGATTAGTTTCTATTACTTTGTCATTAATGATGAGTACGTTAACCTTATGATCAGCATTAACGTTAGTATTAAGAACAACATTGGCATTACCAGTAGTATTACTAACAATAACGGTAACAATAATAGTAGCATTAACATAGATTGGCCGAAATTTCACTAATTTTTGCGTTCAATTTTGGTATATGCTTTCATCATGACCATAGAGCAAAGTTTTTATTCAACAGAAAGCAAAAAAAAATTAAAGGTATTGAATTCAACTCTTTTTGAATATTGCGCACTCATCGAAAGTGGTTGTCAATTACTCGACTTTTGCGCTATAATTTTGACGGAAGCAACTACATATCGCCGATATTTAACTCTTCTATTTTTGTCCTAAATATAATCAGCTAACATGGCACAAGAATGATACTCATTGCTTTTAACAGTCTCCCTCGTTCGAGCCAACATTAAGACTGAATGATACTCATTCTATCAATTACACCTCAAGCAATTCTTTATTCTATGTATACTCACATCTCCTGGAGGGAATTCGTCATTACGCCAAAAGTGATCCCTTGGCGAAATTTCACTTCGGGCCCCAAAAGTATACAACATGACAAATCTGAAAAATACAATTGGTGACGAAGCAAATTTTGAACACAATTTTGGCAATGTACCCATGCAAATATTTAAATGAATGCATCTTAGCATAACCCTGACTTCTTCAACTTTTAAATTGATTGTCGTGGAATTTAAACGGCACCTTCATCAAAAAAAACTTTTGATGAATGATGAGAAACAGGTTGGGAAAGAGGGATATGCATTGATATGCAAACTAAGAGATGTGCGACCGATTGGTAAGTAGTACCTTTATAACGAACGAGCACCCACCACAGTTATGGTTACACAAAAAGTCGTAATTAAACTAATACATGTTCTAAGCCATTGGCGATTGAGCTCAAAACAAAAACCTTTAGTGAGCACCGAGCGATATCTTTGATAAATGAAAACTTTTCGAATCTGTGGACCATTTTGGAGCAATATTCAAATCGATGTTATTTTTTTAACAAGTTCCCCGATGCTCATCACGTTGAGAATCCTATGTTATGTTAAGTGGTCAACTGAAAGATCAATGATGCAAATGGTTATCAAGATCACCTTCAATTACAGTGCAAGATCCTGCTTTTTAGTCGGCTTAGGATAGCCGGCAACCAAGAATATAATTTTGATTACTTTATTTTCCCACACCTACCGCGAATTTATCACGTAGAAAGATATGATTTTAAATATTCTCCTTCAAATGTGTACGTATGTATACATCTATCTATGTATAGCCAATATTCACGATATACAAATCCCACGATTTGGCTAAAACTTTTCTGCTTCCAATGCAAACTGATGAGAATTTTTTGTTTGCGTCTTGTCACTTTTTATAAAATTAATTCTGAATTTGGACTTTTATAGATTTAATTACACCCACTTTTCATCGATTAATTAATTTGAATAAGTAAAATATAATCAAAATAATTCATTGCAAACGTGATATAATTTTCCCTTTTTTCACGCAATTTTCATTTTTTCTCTTCAATACTTTTATTTAATTAATAACATTTCATAGCTAACAAACTATGAAAAGACAAACAAATGCAGAACATTAAAAAAAAATAAATAAATAAATGAAAACAATAAAAAAAACCCATGTAAAAGTCAAGCAATAGCAATGCCGCCACAAACATGTAAAAATTTTCATTAATAATTGACAAACTTTTTAATGCATTGTTTGTTGGCATGTGCATTAAAAGCCATTTTATAAAACAATTCAAGCAAAATGGCGCTGGCCGCGCGATGTGATATATTAAATAAGCGCTCTTTCAACTTCCAAGTCGTCGCAGTCGATAGATGTTGTTTCAGTGACGGAGTGTTGGGAATTTGCTCGTTATTTTATCTTTTTACATAATCTAATCAAAAGTCAGCGAAACTTTCACATTTGCTCGCATACTTATGCTTTAAGTCAAGTCCACTTAGTGTTTGTAAATATTATCCATGATAAAGAAAAAACAAAAGTTTAAATAAATAAAATATTTACGAAATGAGAATTGTTAATAAATGTTAAATTTTATTACACAAAAGAATTATTGCGATATTAACTGCAAATAACAATAACAACAACATTAAAGTCACTTATTGATTACTTTTGATTACCCGACAAGAGTTTTCTAATCTCTGCGTCACCTTCCACTTTTAAGACTCTTTTATATAATATATATTTATCATGGCCATTATTATTACTCGTCCTCGTCCTCGTCATTGGCGACATCGTCATCGTTATTCATTGACAATTCAATTTATTAAGAGGTTTTGTTATCTGCATTTAGAAATCTTTCTATAAATATTGCGTCTTATATCCACAATCTCACACCGACGCGGATACGCTAACTTTGTTACTTCCTCTGTAATGTATCAAAACACTTAAAGGAGCTATTAGAGGACGAATATGTGAATTTAGGTCATTCGTGTGCTTATGCTTTCATCTGCTTTTGATTGGACTTTATGAAAACTTCAAACTAAAACTTAGTATCCGGGAATTCTGCTTGAAAGAAACGGATCACAATTAATAAAAAAAGTCATAGAACTTTGCTTTTAGCCTAGAATAAGTAAAAAAATTTGAATTTCAGCACACACACGTTTCAAATTTACTTTCGCAAATTTTTTTTTATAAATAGTAATCTCCACCAATACATCACTAATGCTCACCAATGCGGTAAAACTAAGCAATTCTCATATGGTTACCTTAAATGCTGGGGATCCACGATTCGCCTACAAACGCGAATAGGCTTCTTACTTGTTTTTCATTGAAAATGTTCAATTGAGTGGAAAATAATGTTGTTGTTGTCGTTATTGATGTTTTATAGTTCAATTATTTATTTTTGTAAGATATGAAAGCCACATCATACCAAAAAATGTATAGTATTTTATATATAGCAACTTAAGGCATCCTTAAGAATTGCCGGAAAAAGGAAATGAAAGATGAAAGAGAAATTGTAAGATATTTCTGACGAAAATAAAAAACACTTTTAATAAGTACAAGCTTTAAAATATATATTAATAATTTACTACTTCAAATACCCATCTCAAGCGGATCTAGAAAAAAAAACCAAAATTTTATTTGGCCATTACTTTATGTCAATGAACAGGAATTGAAAGAAAATTCCTCAATTGTAAATATATCGGTTTGAACGAATCATGCGTGAAAATTTTAAACGCTTCTGAAAAATTTTTGGATAAAATTTTATATCAATACATAAATAATTGAGGAGAATATTTTTCTTAATTTTCACATCCATCATCGCAAGATGAGGGGTATATTCGTTTTGTCAAATCGTTTGCAACGCCCAAAAGGAAGCTTCGAGAACCCCCCAAAGAATATATGCTCATGATTAGCATCAAATTCTGAACCGATTTGACCATGTTCGTCTGTCCGTTTGTGTAATGTCTGTTGTAAGCTTTCTCCTGCCCGCAAAAATGAAATTATCGGCATCAAATTTAACAAAAACATTGAAAGCTCTTGCACGCATGTTGCTCTCGAAAATGAGCCAAATTAGTCAAAAGACACGCTAAACATACTACGCAAACTGATAATAACACTGTTTTTCAAAAGGAATAACAAATTGTTCTTTTGTTCATTATTCATAACACCCAGCAGACAAATCTACCAAATATTTAAACCAAGCCGATTCTGAAATAACTCTACAAAAATGAGAAAAATTGATCACGCCCACCCAATATTACAATGTATCAAAATTACGTTGTTTTTTCAAAACCTTTATAACGCGCCGAAACAAACATCAAAAAACCCATAAAGTATATACATTTTTGACCAGTTTCAAATAAGAAACACACCTAAGCACGTCCACCCGTTCATTTGTCCAGCTGTCCGTCTGTCTGCCCAATCGTGTAGTGTCTGTGACAAATATTCTACCTTTCGCAAAAATTAAGATATCGCTTATAAATTTCCAAAAGAATTTGCAAATTACGCGAATAGGTCAAAGAACACGCCTACAACACGTCCACATGCTTGTGCAACAAAAACTGTGAACGCCTACGCTTTCCATAAAGTACAACACATGCACCATATTAATTACCACTTTTACTCTGAAAATAGAAAAAATCAGCCGCGCCCACTCAATATTATAGAGTATGAAAATGTAGTTCTTTTCCTTTTCTTTTAGGATCACCGCGATGGGTATAAAAGATTCGGTCACAACCACATATAATTTTCTTACCATTTTTTTCCGATTTTTTAGCAATTTTAGACATCTAACATAACATTTCCGCTGAACTTTTTCTATTGACCTAAGTCAGGAGTATATCATGTATGTCAAGTTTGCACTGCCTTCCCTCATATGTGGACTACGTTATATAAATGATGGGCTGAAATTTGAGACAATACTTTAGGAAAGCGTTTATGAAACGCCGAAACATTTAATTATATTTTGAAAATGGAAGATAAAGTGTATGTTTTTAATGTATTTGGTCTTTATATATTCGCTACAGCTACATAAGTGCGAAGATCGAGCAATAAAGACGGAAATTGTCAGGAAAGAAAATCGTGATATGTATATAGTGGGATTTGACAGACCATTTCTAGAATAAACAAGTGCCATCCAACAAAATATATATAATTGATTTAATCCGATATTACACATAAAGAACTAAATTAAACCGAGCAATCGATCAGAAACAGTCAGAACGACTAAGGAGAAAAAGCGCTTCTATCATAACAAAACTTCTCTGATATCTCGATATCTCGATAATTTTGATTTAGGGAATTGTTACCTATTTTTGCTCGCGCAGAAAGTGAGTCACATAGAAATCGTGCATCACGAATTGCTTAAACTTGGGTAGACGATTGCTTCCAATCGTCGAAAGCTAATGCGATTAAAAAATCCAATTTCGCATTTGTTCCTGGATAGCAAGTTTTGCTACATCCACCGTGTAGCCCCAATCTTGCCTCGCCCGATTACCAGTCGACGTTAACGCGACTTCGAAAGAAGTTTTACTTCGCTCGTTTTTCCGACCAGATACCCCGAAAGTTTTATTTTGATTGTATAAGGCGTTTACTAAAAAAGTGTCAAAGGCTATCGAACTTTGAGATATTTTAATAAAGTTTGGTACACCAACGTGCTTTGCCCTAAGAATGTACAATAGTGAAAATGATCCGGATCGGATAACCGTAGGGTGGTTAAGAGTGTGCAATGATTCCTATTCCTCTTTGATTGTCGTTCCTCCTCTCTCCTTTACATCTCTTATTGTCACCCTACCACGCTAATGAAATACTTTCCCTTAATCTTAAAGCACACGAACAACTTTATAATCAATCAAGTCAATCCACTTCATTTAAAGGTTAAATTGAGTGATTAGAGGAAAGCGAAAAGTCCACTTATATACACTTTTACGATTAATAATAGCAATCATATTTTTGTATATGATATATATTAGAATGAAGATATACTGTGTACTTACAAAAATATTGTTTATTGTATATTTACTTGTATGTAGAGGTGCGCGCGTTAAGCGCATTGTATAGAGCAGTTAATATATAATAATATACCCACTTATTTAGTTGTTAAACTTGGAGTGCAGTACACACGGGTAATCATTAACATTAATGCCGTTTATAGTGTTATTGCAATTATGTACATGTCTTCTTTTTTTATCGTTAATGTTGTTGTTGTGATGTTATGAGCACGCGACCATCGGTTGAAAGATTTTCATAATTGATTTTTTTTATTATTATTTCTGTTTCTTTCGTTGTTGCTGCTGCTGTTGCATACTTTGTGCATTGGCGTTTTTCACGGTTGATTAGCGCAATAATAGAGATCTATGATAACATTGAACTTGCATATAATAAAAACAGATTACAGGAAGTTCATTATTGATTAGATTTTAAAAAAAAGAAAAGGTTTATATAGAAAAGTCCGTATAGGTTTGATGATTCTAACATAGGCTTGTGTGAACGTAAACTCTGTTTCTGGTAAATTCAAATCAATTAACATTTTCCGCCATTTTTATTTTTCATTTCTTTTGACTTTTTTACTTCTCGCAATCGTCACTTTTAATTTAGTTTTTTGTTTACTTTTGTTCATCATTATTTGCATTCGTATGAAATACGACGTTTATGCGGTGTGAATAGGTTGACACAGAAAAACATGCCAGTTGCACTGATGCGAAACACTTTCAGTTTTCTTATGATTAGCGGCAAGTCTTACCTGTATGATGGGGCATTATTATTAAAGAATATAAGAGTAAAGAGGGTCATAAGCGCGCAAATCTATGCATATGCATATGTGTGTATTTGCACCAAGTCATCATTCAAATTATGACAACAGAAAAGTGAAAGGATGGGCCTTTTTCCTGAATTTCTTTTGCTTTCGTTTTTTGATAAAACATTTTTTTTTTATTTCTTTAACTAAAAAACAAAACAAGGAAGTCGTTCGAACGTAAAGATATTTTGTAATAGTATTCCAATGAAGGAAAAGGAAAAACAAAAAAAATGAAGAGATAAACACCAAAGATTGAATGCTTGCCTCATAATCGTATAGGAAACTCTTAGATAACAACAACTCCACAAGAAAAATGAAGCTGGTTCCAATTTTTCTTTCTCTTTTACTTTTTTTTTTGTTTTTTTTAAATCGACGCACTTAACTAGATAATACATTCAAATAACATGGCTAATTTGCTTTTTAATCTTTTTTTTTCCTTTGCATTTCTTTTTGGCATTTCACAGAACCCGATAATATTAACACTTTGCATAGGACTTATCAGTATCTAAAGAGTACCGGACAGGTAAGTTATCAAAGTTATCAAATAGGAATAATTAAAAAAAATTATATTTTGCAAAAAAACATCAACTCTCATCAGTATGCACTCGTCAGCCATTATATATGTCATTTCATTTATTGCATCTACACATGAAAATTATTGTCTTTTACGAGTTTTTTTTAAGTTTTCAGCTTAAGCAAAAACATATTTACGGTGATTGATTGATATGCATTTACTTTTATATTTTTTTGTGAAAAGTAGAAAATGAATTAAGTTTATTACTTTGCAATTGGCTGAGTGCGCATGGAACAATATGCGATTATTAGCCTTTTTTATTGAAAAAAAATTAAGCTTACTTAAACGTAAATGCATTGAATAGCAAGCAAAGTTACGCTAAAGCATACACATACACACAATTATATATATATATATATATATATATATATATATATATATATATATGTAAATATATATGTATATGTACGCTTTCCAAAGACAAGAAATTGTTTTCCTTTCTGATAAGCATAAGTCATTATTTCATTAACTCATTTCATACGCCCGCATTCGACAAACTTTCGCTGAAAGGAACTTTGTTTCTGAGATAAAATTTCAAGCATCTGAAGGGTATATTAAACCAAATTATCCACGTGATACTTTAGAATTCTTGAAACGCGTAATTTGATTTTACTAGTTAATTTTGTTAAGAGGGAAAAGGCAAGCAGCCTCTCCGCATTCACAGTCCTTCAAATGCGCTCTTCGAAATCTGAAGTGCACATTTTGGTATCATTTGGCATTTCAATCTACTCACTTTACAAGAACTATCAATGTTATCTTCATTAAGCATTGTTCTGCATTCCTTCTTTAGTCTTTTTTCATCTCTCTTTCCCTTCTCTTTTCACTTTGTTCCCTCTTTTCTGTCACCCCATCTCTTTCTCACCATCCCAATATATAATCGAAAGTGAAATTTCACGAAATAATTCTTAGACTATGATAAACGTTCGTAATTGCCAGTTCGAAACGTCGGAAGGAATCAGAATAAATTCTGGAAAATTCCACACTCACGCATAGAAAAAAGTTTGAACTTCCATATGAAGTGTACTTACGAATTCATTTATCTATATTTATTTGGTTTTATTTATTTATTTATTTATTTACATAAGGCTCGAAAACGAAATTAAATTTATTTAAAAGTAGAGCAATTTCTAAAGCTTACAATAACTACTGTGGCACATCTCTGGTCAATTCTCTACACTAATATCGGAAAATTGTCACTACTATCATGACTACTGTCAATGCCATCCTGTTTCTCGAAGACTAATCGACCAAAAGGCAGAAATCAATCCAAAATTTCATACTTGGGAAATGTTAAAATTTACGTTGCAAGACCACGAACGAGACAAGACAGTTCACAGGACAAATAAACAAAATTTCTTTAATTAGTATATGGCAGCTTGTTAAACGAACAGCAACTATTTGAGTTATGGACATTGCATGTTTTTGCGAATCTTACCTCCCATGTTACATCACTCGATTGATGCTTTATTTTTTCACTTCGCTGTAAAGAATATCTAGGAGCGAGGCTCCAATTAAACGGAAATCGGTATTCTGTCTGCGTTCAGAAAAATTTTTTTGTAGCTACATCGAGTAACACAGCATAAGTGAGAGAAGAATAACACCTTAACGAGAGTTATTATTAATATAGCCAGAGAAATGAATTCTAAGATTAAAATTTTAAAGCACTTGCATCTAGAGCTATCTCCTTTATTGAAAATTCTACTGCATTTGAGGTTTGAAACCGCGACCATTGAGCTGTTAGTCGAAATCTTTTGCATATTCGACCACTCATGCGAGAAATATTTCTTGATTTATTTCTATTATTTTTATTCCTTTATTAATTAGTACAGATCAATTGTCGTGCGCGCGTCATAGGACCTTTCCGCTTTTGCTCGGAGCTTATAAAACCATAAGGTGCGAGCATATGACCACCACCCTCGACTCTCTTGAACATTGGCTTTCTTAACGGCCTGACTCAACTACTTGATTGCTCGTTTTTGAATCGCACTGCAGCTGTGGTCTTTCCCGCCATTCCAAACGCTCCCCATTCAAGTCGAACGTATACAAACTCCACTCGCTCTTCGTACTCTGCCGTATCTATAATCCCTTCTAATTACCGTCGTGTACTCTACTTGTGTACAGAAAATAGAAACAAAAACAACGAAGTACTTCCGGAATATAAACCGAACAAGTCGGAAGAAACCATGCAAATGTCCCGAAGATCTATAGAAGCGCAGAGTAAGAAAATACTAATAATAAAGACCAACCGACCGACCAACCATTTCGCTTAATACAGTTAATCAGGCAACCTCATACTTTCATATCCTATGCCACGTGCGTTTGAAAACAATGTGTAACCTTTAGTGTACTAATACCAAAAGGAGTGAATAATTGTATTAGGCAAAGCGATATAGGATATGTAATAATCGACCTTGCTCGACTAAAAGTAAACTCTAACAGATTGGTGACCGTAGATCTTCCCTTTCGAAAACCATGTTGGGGAGGAGAAATATATGATTTCATGGAAAAGGCTATATGCTGAGTCACAATTCGTTCAAACAGTGTAGGCAAGACACTCAACTTGGCAATGCCTTTGCAGTTCTCTACAAGTTGCCTACTACCACTTTTGTGAATAGGAATAAGGAAACAAGTCTTCCAACACAAAGGGAAAACACCTAAATTCAAGGACTTGTTAAAAATCTTTGAGATAAGACCACATAGCTCGCCAACACAAGATATAAGTACACATGAGGGGATTCCAGCAGGTCCGGGCGAACAATTATATTTTAGAGAGCTCAATCCTTCAAAAATGTCATTTTCAGATATAACAAAGTTAGGAATTGAAATCAAATTAGAAATCGGATATGGATAGTTTGCTGATAAATCAAAATTGGTAGTTGAAAAGTTCTGTCGGAAATATTCCGCAAAAAGATTTGAGGTTTCAAAATCATCCGAGCACTCGAAGCTATTAAAAGACACATGCGAGGGATTTATGGAGATTTTTCTTTTGGAATTAACAATCCCGAGGGATAAATTCCTTAATTAAGAATCCAACCGGCCACAATGATTTATTTAACATCAAATCCATATTTTCAGTCGGAACTAGAATTTCAAAAGATAAGATAGCGCTGGATTGAGAAGGAGCCAATTTGAAAATACTAACTACTACTAATAATTGACAGAAGGGGCTTTCACTGCCAGATAACTTTTTATGTTATCAACAGATGTATCTGGTGCCAGTCTTGACGCAAATATTGCATTTCTGGGAGGAACTGCCTTCAAATATATGTCATCTGTACTAGGAGTAGCAGGGTTCACTGATGAGAATTTATGAGTTGGGGAAAATATAGAAGGTGTAATCACACTTGCACGAGCAGCTTGTGCGATGTGTCAAGTTTGGCGGCCAGCGTTCACACTCGAACAGCCAGGAGGAGAGTACGATTTACTATTATCATTATTAGTTTTAAGCGATGAAGCCTGACAAGACTGAGTGACATCAACGGGAGGAGATACCATTGCCACTTCAGCATAGCTCAACCCAGTAGGACTTCTCGGCTTTTTTTTAACTTTTATGTTACCGACCGAGTCAAGAGTAGCAGAACCGCTAACATTCTTTGTAGACTTTAAGGAATTGCTAACTTGCACCGACGAAACGGACTTTGGAGAAGTCAGAGGTGACGAACCACATGCTACGCTACGAGTTGAAACTTTGTTAGCTGGAGAGGAAGATGACTGCGCAATAAAACGGCACTCATCAAACCTATTCTTGATTATTTCAAACTTCTCCCACAAGGAGCCGAGATTTTTGCTCAAATCTGAGAAACAATGTCTCATCTAAGTGAAGAGTTTGTAGAAATCAATGTCCCGTTTTCTGCAGCCAGGACATGACCATCGTAAACCTTTAGAAGGATCAAGGACTGCATCAGCAGCACAGCCAATAATAACAGCACACTTTGCATATCCAAAACGCTCACACAGCCAACAAGAAATGAATCGTTCAAATTCAGGGCCTATTTTCGCACGGCATCGTGTAAATAAGCAATCGATGTCCATTGAAAACAACGAAAGTAGCTTATGAAGGAAAAAAAGGAAATCTAAAAAATTCCAAAGCACAAATTTTCAGCAAATTAAAGCAAATTTCTCACTTCCCTGCCCACTGTAAATATAGAGCGCAAGCTAAAGAAACTGTAAACAAAGATTAACAGGCAAAAAGAGAGACTTTTACCAAGAACTCAGTTGTTGATTACACTAAACCAAAATGATTTTTTCACATAAGTGGTTAATAAATTCATATACGTTAAATGCACACTTTATTCTTTTAGAAAATTTTTAAAATTAAACATAAATAAAGCAAAAAAACTAAGAAATACACTAAAAAAATTGAAATATTTCTTGCACAGAATAAAAAGGCAACTACAACACGCACGCAGAGTTGCCAAACTCGATATGTTTTAAAATGTAACTTTATCTGCTTTAATGCAATATAGTTGAACAGAAACAACTATTCCGTGATAAGCCAGCACTTCTACGGAATTTTACTTCAATAGAATTGAATTCTGAAGATCTCTAAAAAACGTCGTTCATTTTTTTGCATTGCGTTGGCTTGACGAAAAGGCAAAAAAAATGGTAGCGATAATAACTAATGTTCTTGTAACTTTTTTCAATAGGTTATAGTTTTTAAATTATTTTCAATAAAGTTACTCCATTGCCTTAACCTCCATAATTGATTTCTCCTAATATCTTTTTATGATTTCAAACGGATTGCTTTGCTATTTATAAAGCTGTCAACAAATTTTCTTTCACTTATTATTTAGGTCGTTAATCTAAACCCGAATGTCTTAAACAATATTAAAACATCAGAGATGAATGTGGTATTTTTTTAATTGTGTCCCATGAAGTGTTGAACTTATCAATTTATTAAAACTGTAGGCCAAAATTCATGATTTTAACATTGAGATAGATCCTCAACC